TACAACATAAGAATTAGGAGTCGAAGTGACTTGATAACTTACATTTTTAAACTTCTCATACTGCTCTAGTACTTTACTTGTAGCTTCAGAAGGGCAATTATCGGACAATTCTAGCTGAAATAGGTCATTGAAATCATTTATGTTTAGGTTCAGCTTCATTTCTTTAAGCTTAGAGAACTGTAGAGATAAATAATCATTATCAATGTAACCTACCAATGCTTCTATTGTTTGAACCAAATGCATGCTTGAAGAGAGATATTTTTTAACCTTTTGATTGTGGCACTCAGTGCGATCATTAGTATTATTACCAAATGTAGGAAAGGCTTGTCGATATGCATGTACCCACATTTCCTTACACAAGTGTCAGTTATGCATATAGTAAGAAATGAAATCTGTGCAAGTCATAGCTTGGAGGTTAGCAAGCTTATAGAAGTAGTCTTGCTCAGTGGGGGAATAAACTAAGCTTTTTAAGAGAGGAAGCAACTGATCCTGTTGCTGTCTAGCTTTTTTATTAACCTTTTGCTGGAAACAATGCAACACATGCCACGTACACAAAAGTACGTTAGAATTAGGAAGAATACTGGTTAAAATGCGCAGTTCATTGAGATCTTTATCAATCATCACTACTTTGCAAGCAGACACAACAAATGGGTTGAAATCTACAAACTTTGTGAACATGGGCTCAACAATTTCAGTCGTCTCATTTCGTAAGAAGGAATAAAACACAGGTCTCCCACGACCACGACCATCTTGAACTAATATAGAGTAAAGAATATAACCCTCAATATTCACTTTATACATTCCATCAATAAATGGAATCTCTGGATACTTTTCCAAAATCTCACGCATGTGCGTTGTTTGAAGAAGTATGAATTGCAGGTTATTATTTTGATTCATTTCATAGTGAATAACCCAGTTTGGATTATTTTTTGGCAAGGTCTTTACCTTCTCTAAAACCATTTCACCATGAGCCTGCTCATTGCGGGTAGGAATAGAAAATCGTTGCTTGTAATTATTAATGTCCTTTGTAGTTAACTTCTTACCAGTTTTTTGCTCGACCAAGTTTTTAAAATCCTTTGCGCGAATAATATATTTAGCTAAGTCAAAGAATTCTTTTTCTCCATAATTCAGGAGCCTTTTCTGAAGATACAAATCATAATATTCTGTGGGTTGGTTATGCTTAGCTTGTAGTTTAGTTATCTTGTAGTGCAGAGTAGGCGATTTACATAGGCTTACCGATACTGTCATTTCACAGCCAGTACCATTGTAAGCTTGCTTTGGTCGCTTTCCTATCCCCCTGGGCTTTATTGTGCGACCGTGAATGCAGCTATATTTAATCCTAATATACTCGAAGTCCTTATCTTCTGATGTGAATGGACTTTTATTACTCTTATTTATCATGACTACATGCCTGCCCTCCCTGCGCCACTCATCAAAGCTTTTCTTAAAAGAAGGAAAGTTATCAATGTTGTTTAAATAAACGTTGCTACCCCCACCATATAGTTTATTTACTGGGTTATTGAGGACAGTTGGGTTGGCACCAGTGTTTACACAAATAGCCTGGGCACCAGGGCTGGCAGGCCTGCTTCTGGATGTCAAAGCAGCCTCACAATACTTGTACTGCACAGCTGCAGTGTACCCAGCTTCCATGGGGTCACCAGCCTCTGTGCCAGGATCGCGCTCAATTCGCATGCAATCTTGAATCAGTGCTGGTAGATGGCTTTTGCAGACAGAAACCTCGTTCACAGCGTCATTCGTGACAGATTCACAGTGAGTCGCGGAACTATTTGAGCAGTCTTTCAACTGCTTGCTAGGAACAGGCTGCACCTTTTTAAAACTATCACGAATGACGTTGTGCGAGACACTGGCTCGTCCTTCAGGCTTTCTACCACAGACAGCGGAAGAAGCAGACTGAATATGTTTCTGGCTCACAACTGCTGTCATAGGTGAAGTGGACCTGATGGACTTGGCAGCTGTCACCGCAAGAACTTTGCCTTCACTGTCTGCACACACTTTAGAGCTCTGTTCTTGCTTGTGCAGTGCCACAGCCTTCTGCCGGCTCTTCTTTGACTGCACCAGTTTCCACTCACTGTCGCCACACTGGCCGACACCTGTGGCACAGCTGCTTTTCCAGCACTGGCCTTCTCTTCCCCCACAGAAGAGCGCACGAGAGCACTCTCATGCTCCTGTGAGGCTCTCCTTATTTTCCTGTCACAAGTGGTGCTTTGCACCTCGACTAGGAATCATTGGCTGAACAGGCCTCTCCCCAGTGTTTCCCTTGCATGGTACACTTGTGCCATGGAAAATGGGGGAAGGCAGGCTGTCCCAGGTTCACCAAGCCTTGCTTCCCTTGCAGCGAACGCGGACACCGCCAACGAGCGTAAAGCCAATACCATGAATGGTACTGGCCAGTTGGTCAGTGTCGTGTCTCTGCATGAGAGCACTGCTGGTTTTCCAGACAGGAGCTGGTGCTGCGGAAGGTCCACCTACTGCTGGAGAATATTGAACTGCATGCATACCAAGTGCTGAAAAACCGACTTCCAAGTTGATGGCAAAGTGCTCCTGCCGAGCCCACCCACTCCACGCAGATGCCTTGGACTCCTTGTAGGACTGTTGGATGTGTCTCCTCTCTAGATGGGTGGACAAGGCACAGGCCTCCCGGTGCAGGAAGTCTGCCAGCACCTTGTTGCCAAGCCGGCTGGGGTGGACACCATCCCTGCTCAGGAATCCAGGCCAGCTGTCTACAAGACTATCCAGGATAGTGAAGCCCCTCTCCAGGCAAAGCTGTGCGAGTGCGGCATTCACATTCCTGTAGTGGTCATTCAAATGACAAACATCACACAACTGTTCTTCCCCTTGGCGGTACCGATTCTGCCCCCGAGGAAGAATGGCAGAAAAAGCTACATGCAACGTGGGATTGCTTTCGATGATTCCCTGAACGAGCTGGCGATATTTGTCCATGCACATGTTGACACTGTCAACAGTGTTGTTCGTGCCAACATGTACAATCATAACATCAAAACTGGCCAGCTTGTCAGCAATCATTGAGAGCGAGTGCTCAATCCTTATTCCTTTGTGTGTGGCAACGCTAACAGACAAGCCACGGCGCGATGGGAAATACTGGTCCACGTATTTCACAATTGAATTGCCCGCTACTAACACACGCGTCATGTTGCGCACACTTTCAATTCAGAATTACACCATGAAAAAAAAGAAACAAGAAAGTGAATATTTAATCTAAAACACGGCTGTCAATTACGCAAATGCACTACGACACAGATACGAAGCACGTTAACACGGATGACCAAAGAAAGGGCCGCGTACAGATACTGCTAAATCAGCCTATACGCAAAAAATCACAAAAAATACGTATTGGGATGGATATAAACGTTAGTAAAGATAATTAGCAGTGAAAATGAGCGGTTAAGCTTACATGAAGATGATGTTTGAGGCTTGCAAATATGTAGCAGAACAAGGCCTGTAGACAGCTCGCAGAAGCAGCAACCAGCCGTACTCCAGCTGCAGCAGCAGCAAGTGAGCGTCTGCTGGGCAGCTGAGTCACGTTCCGATTCGGTAAATTCGAGCAACGCGCTAAATCGAAAACGACGTATGTCGTGACGATTTTTCGTGACGTCACTTTCGTGCGGTGCAGGAGTTGTCTTTGTGTGGGGGTGGCTTGTGCGCCGCAGCAGTCTCTGCCATTTTTTTAAGTGACGTCACTTCCGTGCGGTGCAGAAGCCACTTCTGTGTGGGGATGGCTGCTGCGCCGCGCGGCGCAGAAGACGCTGCCAAAAGGTTTTTACGTTTTTGGAGCTTTTGTGCAACAAAATTAACGTAAAAAAGTTTCAAAAAGGCGGAAACGTAATTATAATTAATCCTACGTATGTGACGCCGTTATTCAAGGAGCAACTTTTTTTTGCAAGTAATCCTCTAAAATTAGTAACGAACGCCAAAATTGCCAATCTCAAAGGCTGAGTACAAAGACCCTTACTCCACGTAGGCAGCGTCGCCATAGATGACCGGCGTTTCGCGCTCATGTGGCAGGCACAGGAAATCTAGAAGGTGTTGCACACACCTACAGTACTCGCAACGCTAATTATTGATTAGGAGAGAAAAAATAATAATAGTGTTCACAAACACAAAGAAATGAAGAGAAACTTATCTTTCGTTGCGCGCTTCACCTGCACCAACTGACCTCGCACAACCTTGCACACACTTGAATCTGCCGAACAGCTAGAGCGCGCGAAAACACGTCCGCACCTTAGAGTTTTCTAAAATTGACTTGCCGTGGTCGATTTTTTTGCCCTCTACGGCCATCGCGTGAACTTGAGAGTTATCGGGCTGACTCCGCAGCGACCATAGAATACCAATGCACTACCACATTGGGTGGATGGATGTGGCTATACCCTTTAGATTGGGCGGCGGCTAACGCTGCCTAGCCGTAATACCTAGTGAAGTAACCACTAGATTTATCTTTTTTTTCTCTTTAAGTAGTGAGGTTGAGGACTAGTACTTTGCAGTGAAGGGTTTAAATTTCACTCGTGCTTTGACTTTAGCTACCAATCAGATAACCTTCTTCTAGTTAATTCTACCCGCTTAAAGTCTATTTTGCCCTCCCTGTCCCTAAACCCCAGTGCTTTGAAAAACTCTGCCCCTTCATCCTGAACTATAGGGTGAAGCCCTTTACAGAACATTATCAAGTGTTCGGCAGTTTCCTCCTCCTCTCCACATGCACTGCATACCGTGTCTACCCCTTCGTATTGCACTACCAATGCCAGCGCCATCTCTAGGTCGGATAAGCAATTGGAGAACGCCACCGGCGCCACCGCTACTCTTATTTTCGTTGCATTCTCAAGGTACAGTTTCTCTTGTATAAGTAAATTGTCCATAGAATATATAGTAAATAGGAATATAGTATATTTCTCTATGATATAAGTGTTTTGTGGCCAAGCCACTTCTACGCGCTACTGACTCCTAATCGCTTGTCGGCTGTTGCGTGGTCAATAATTTATTTACTATATTCTAGAAGAATGGTGAAGTGGCGTGCGTTGTGCTGGAAATTGTGCCGTAACCTATCAAGCCGCGTTGTGGGCGTAGTCATTAGAAATCTTCATTATGAACAGGGCCAGTCTACGAAAGAGTACCCGAGGGAGTACTTCTATTTTATTGACCATCAAGGAATGGTACGCCTTATTCTGTTGTAGAAGAGCTGCTTAATCAGAATAAGTTGTGTTGACAGTTTGTCTCCTGACATGCAGCTCTTTCTAGATGATTCCAGAATGAAGAATTTCACGTCATGCTTCAAAGGTATCGTTATCAATTATCGTGGCAAGTTTGTCATGCTGAGCAAACAATTCTAGCGTAGTCGGTGTACTTTCGCAAGGGGTGGTGCATTGAAATGTCGTAAACGTTGATGTGACGTCTGTTTTAATGCGTTGCTTCCGGCTGATAAGCTCCCATTAGTGCGACCCAGTTTCGCGCGTCGGCAACCACCGTGCAAGCTCTGCTGTCACAAGTTAGCGCATTTGCCTTGCGTGCGATATGCCACCTTACCGGCGGTGATCAATGGTGTTCGTGTGCCCCCCAGTTTTATTATGTCGCTGATGTTTTCGCGCTTCGAGGACGCTGTACTGAAGTTCAATTTATTAGTTGGCGTGAACATTGTTTAAACATCGTTGTTTGGCATTCGAACACGGTATTGCTTGTTTTTGTGATTCTGCACTTTGTTTACAGTGACAATATTACATACAAGTAGTTTCAATATATCATGCAATATTGAAAGTACATTTTGACTAACTGCAGTTTGCTTATAGTTAGGTGGTTTTGTTTGTGCTCAAAGCATTTATTTTAAAAAATTATTCTTGGTACAATTGTTCAATCTTAGCAACTAACTAGCTGCACTTATAGAAATTCACCACAAGTCACCATTTGCAACAAGTGTGAATTTCGGCAAATAAGAAATGATAAGGATCCATAAACTTTTATGTATGTGATGAAGTACATGTATCTCGGCAGTGTATTAGTATGTTTTAGATTGCATAAGCAGAATTTTTTTTACACACAACAGGAAGCGTAGACAGAATTTGATTACAGAAATTGCTTCATTTTTATTATGCTTAACACAGCCTCTTTGTGCTTTACAGAAAAAAAAAATTCTTGTAGTTCTTCTTTCGCAGGCTGCAGTATAATGACACTGGGAAGTATACAGCAGAATTTCCATTCATCTCTCCATGTGGACGGGAGATGAATTTTGTCCGCTGTGATGACCTGCCCTTCGTCTTCACGCACATTGTACAATTGCCCGAAGAAAGCAAATAGCCAGGTTCAAAAGGCTTCTTCTTACACAATCATGCAGGCAACCTACTGAAAGTTGATTTACACCACAGCACCTTTGCATGCCTCCTGGCACAGGGAGGGTCTATCACCAAGCACCTGAAAGGGCAGGTGGTGTTGGGCTAATACGTTCACTCCTGGCTATTGAGCTTAGCAAGCATTTTACTTTTGCTGATGACAGTGATAAGTCTCCACCTACTCACTTTGACTGGGATGGCACTCGCTACAAGCTATCAAATAGTCTCCTGCCTGTCATCAATAAGGTGTCTCGTTGGAATGGAACAGAATAATGAGTGTGACTACAAAATCAGTTGCACTGCATGATTGTTTCAAAGGAAAATTCCTGTGCTACCCAATGCTTCAAAGAATACAAACTGATTGTTTTGGAAATTGTTCTATGAATTATTGTAGAAGAGTAAAAGAATCTCAGGCAATTGCCCTTTGAATTGAGATGTAACTTGTTCAAATACTGTTTTTGTTGGCTGCAATACACTTAAACATGGCACAAATATGTTCCCTTTGTCTTTATGAGTTTAAATCTTTCTAAATGTTCACCTACTTGCCCAACTGGCATTTTTCAAAGGGTGCGAATGTACGATACATTTAGTTATGCTGTGTGGATCTAATGCAACCATCTCATGATGAATTCAATGGTTGTTGCAATAAATTACATGCACATTACATGTCATTGTGATTTAACTTTTGAAGTCTGCACAGGTTTGAAAAACGGCATTAGGCAGCTGCATTGGCAGACTACCAAGATAACAAAACAACCATGCTTTTCATTTGCATACTTTTTCCATTCTCCACTATGAATAAGATGCCAACTTGCAAAAAATTCACCCTTGCCACCACAGCTTTGCCTACATAGTGGACAATTTGTCAACAAAGCCAATAAAAGCCATCGGTGACGTAAAACAGTTGTCATGCAAATTGCTTCAAATATGCCACACATAGCAAATGAAATTTGGTGATTAGAAATTATCAATGTCTACTATAATTTATTTCAGTTCTCTAATCAGTTTCATAAATTTTACCAAGTACCAAGCTCCTATCGTCAAGATTAGGCAAGTTGTGCAGCGACGAGTTTAGTAAATGTATGCAATGGGCTAATGTTATTAGCTGCGAATCTTTTCCACAATATACAAGTAGTTAAAAAAAACATGCATTCTTAACACAGCAGTGTATCCTTATTGTCAAACTTGCCCATAATATTATAATCAAGTGAATCACCGGTTACCAAGTAAAGCACTCTTGATTTTTTATAAATGGGCTTGATCTTCGCATGCACCACTACACATCTCCAAAGACACCTCTGAATTGGCTTCTTTTTTTTTCAACTTGTGGTGATTTTATGCTTGTGGCGATCTTATGTTTTTATAAAAGGAAACTAAGCATCTTGTAAAAGATTCCAACTTTGGCAAAAAAGATTTGTGCTTAAAAAACAGATTCTGATCCCTTACCAGAGCAAGGTTACGTTGCATGTACACGAAAGTACGGCCATTCAGAGTGTGCCTTCCTGCCATAATAATTCTGTTACTTATTAGATGCAATAGTCAAAAATAAAATGTTACACTACAATGTTGTTAGAAGGCAAGGTAACATATTGGCTTTTACTGTCATGTAGAACAGATGTCCCTGCAAAAAAATCACACCAGGGAGACTTGTTGCATACAAGGGTGCTACAGTTGCACCAATTGCACCAATTTGATATAATTCCCTATTTTCGCACCAAAACCATGAAATTTGCTAAAATTGAAACAAGCTGCGCGAAAATGCCTGGCCAGTCTTAAAGTTTTCTCAGTTGCACAAATTTCAGCGAGAAATGGCAGCCACATTGACTATTTGCATGCAGTTTGCATGATCAATCAATCCAAGTGTGCAGATCAACCCTAACCTGAAACACGGTGTAAGAATATATTCCCATTAAGTCCGGGCTCTCAATACACGCAGTTGACCAGACAAACTAACAAAGCCGTGCGCCATTGGTCCGCTGACTGCTGCAGATATCTATCGGTGGGACGACACAACTTGAAAACAAAAGGAGTTGCTGTAGCCACCAACGCTTCGCGGGAATGAACTTTCTAGACAGTAAACGTGGCTATGGCATGTTAGCAACTAAAGCTGGGAGCATATGTCCCATTCCTCGCATGCGAACAGACACGATATGCTGCAAAAATTGGTGTTGCCGGCGACAATGTTGTTGATATAGCAACAGCACATAATACATTTTTCTGTCTTGAAGTTGCATTATCCCAGCAATAGATATCCGGTGCCATCTCACTGGTCCTGCAAGTGCGTGCTGTTGTTACTTATCTGGTCCCATCGTGAATAAAAGCAACAAAAAGAGGCGGGAGTGTAGCGGTTTTTCATGACTTGTCCTAACTCGTGCAGAACGCTGCTTAATCCACCTTTGCCGCAGTATACTGGTGCCCAGCGAAAATGCGCGTTATGATTTTGAAGGAGCTGTTAGCACTAATCACGGGATATCGCACATTTTGTTCAATTACTCGCGCTTGTATACAGCGCATAATTGTGAGTACTAGTAGTGCCGATGACATCTGAAAAAGTTACTGGCAATCATTTGGATCCGTGTATGACATTTTTGGTGCCCTAAAAAAATTATGTGCCAGCTTTTCTTTTTTTTGCCACTCCTACAAATTCCTTGAATTTCAAGGTCGCCAGCTTGGCAGATCCACATTTGAATTCGCAGAGTCAGACGCACCAAATGCTAATGTGGACGTTATCATTATTGCCTCAGTGAGATGGTCAATTTTATTGAAATAGCAGTGCTCTTACTCACACTGCACGATTCAGGGCATAAAGAATCGTTTGTACATAATATTTTTTTAAATGTAAGACTTATTTTTTATAATGCTCTAAATTGGGCCTTTCGTGATAAAAAATTAATGTTTTGCTCCCCGTAACCTGCTCCAAATTTGCATTTTTGTGCTTCAAAAGTAACATTGTGCGGCTTCAAAAATTGCTCCAAATTCTATTTTGGCGGTTGCACCCCTGTGGATAGATTTTTCAATGGCACAAAGGTGCTTGAGCTGAGTGGGAAGCCCATAGTCTATCAATGACCCACAACAGATCAAAAAGATTCACAATATGTGCAGTGTAGGTGATGTGAACGGCACACTTGTCTGCCTTGTAAAGCTGACCTCCCTCTGCAGCACGTATTGTCGAAGTCCAAGATAAGCATGAAATAATGTCAATATTGAACAGTATTCTGGTGTGTTTGTGAAGCTAAAGGACTATGTGCTAACTTTTGAAGGTCTTTCACTTTTTAATGCAATCGAAACCTCATCAGTGTCCTGACTCACAAGATCTTTTTAGGAAACATTGAAATTTTCAGTTTTAAAATATGCTCGGCAAATAGATTTTAGACTTATATTTTGAGGCTTATACATACCAAAATCAAGATATAATTATGACGCACACTGCTATAAGGGATCTATCAATCTTGAACACCTTTGGTCTTTTAATCTTTTAGCTCTCATTGATGAGTATATTCACCATGAAATTTTTTACCAAAATAACCAATGACAACTAGAGTCACCATGAGCAAAAATTTCTCATGTGGTTAAAACCATCTAGTTGCAATTTCTAAGACTAGATGGACACAGATGGCCATGCTGTGCCTTTCAGAAAAAAAAATAAAACCAAGTGGGTACATTTTTTTTTCCATCAGAGAAATAACTAATGTGCGCTCAATGCAGGGCACACAACTATTGTGGCGTTTGACTTCAATGAAAAAGCAGCCACGCAGCCAGGATTAAATTGTGTGCAGCTGTCAGCACCTTTTACACGAACGCTCGGCCGCATGTCCTGCAGCAGTTTGATTGACGCTGACACCGCATACATTTGGGTTCTGTTGCCAAAATGCTAACCATACATGCCGACATACTATCCGAGCCTACCGAGGTATTATCTTGGCAAAAGCGCACAGCACTTTGCAGCTGGCATCAGTC